AATTTTCAGGATTTGTTGGAAATGTGAAAAGGAACAACTGTTTTCATTTTGGGGGTGATCCGGAAGAAATCCTGGATTCTGGATCACTTTGAAATTTTAGTTAACATTGTGGTAAATGGGGCCAAAAATTTTGTTTCTCAATATCTCGGTTAATTATTGACCAAACCCCATGAAATTTGACTCAGGGATGGACAATGGGATCCTCTTTCATATTCCAAATTGAAAGATATGAGACAAATATTTATGGAAAACACAATTAATATGAGGGGGACTGTAGTCCTTGGCGGAGGTCTGCGCTCTCTGAGTGCTTTTCTAGTATTATCTTATCGTTTTGCTAATCTGTCCTGTAGTCAAATGGTCAACTGTGCAATTGACAAAAGGGGGTTTGCCAGTGGCTTTTAAAACTTATTTATGACACAAAACACTTGCACAAGATGAAATAATATCTATGTGTATCAAGAAGTACTTATATATCTTCTATGTCTTTATATGTGCAATGGTAGATTTAACTCATAACTCACTCCATGTCCTCGTTTCTGCGTCCTAATGAGAACTACTAATAACACCCTAAGCAGTTCCATATTATTAAGTATGTGCATGCGTATGTGTGTGTATGGAAGAAACTTGAGCAGTTGCCATAACACCTTTATTATCTTGGTGAGAGCTACACTGCATATCACATTTGTTGTCTTTGTCATGTTCTGTCGCTTCAGGCTTAAATCTATCTCCTAATTCAATATGATTATTTTTATTATATGGCAACAAATATGCACTAATTGGCCTGTTTGTTATGAATAGGAGTGTACATACATATACATACCTCTCATTTTTCTGTGGGGTTATGAGGTTATCATGTTTAAAGTAAGAGAGAAATTAAGACAATTATCATGGCGATTAAGGCAAGGCAAGGTAAGGCAAGTTTATTTGTATAGCACAATTCGTACACAAAGTAATTCAAAGTGCTTTACAGAATAAGAAATACATTAAAATCATAATAAAAACAAATCAAAACATAAATAATCATGAAGATTAAAATTAAAAAAGAGAGACATAAATTGGAGAGAAGAGTGCGGAATGAAAACCTTTCAGTTATTGCACAGTTAAACAGAAATGTTTTGAGCTTGGATTTAAACAGCGTCACAGAAGAGGCCTGTCTCACATGTTCAGTAAGACTGAACAATGTAAAACTAAATATTACATCTTTTGAATGGAGAAAAGTCCTCAAAATGTATATGACAGGAGGCTGAAACCCAAGAATAATTACCGTTGTGATATAATATAACAGTCTTATGTTTTTAGACTTTGCTTCTTTATTTGTGCAAGAATAAAACACCTCGCAGTTTGGGGTGTGGAGTATTCTGTCAACCTGATATTTATTCTTCAGGCAGTAGAAGTTTTATTTTCCCGTTTACAATACGAAAATTTCATCAGATCCATTCTCCTTATGATTTATAGTTGTTTATTATATTACAATCAAACATGCAGGCCTAAGTGTTAGTTTGCATTTAATTTTTTTCATAGATCCTCGCCCACTTTGCACCCTTGGTTACAGTTTCCTTCCACATCCTGAAGGGTTGCCGTACAGATAATCAGCCATTTTATTTCTGAGATTCGTTTAAGTTAAATAGAAAGTTTCTTATTGGCTGCTTACAATACGTTGAGAGAATGAACACAATAGACTGTTGGATTGTGTGAAATATCTCTTACCCATGGCGACTATGCAAAAGATTCACTGAGGATATTTGAGATGCTGCAGGCTTTTTACATCATATGTGGCAGCAAATGTGGCAAAAGACCTTTCACAGGAAATACTTAAAGGGACTAGCTCACTCCACCAAAACACCAGAGCAAAGTAAGAACGAGGTCTTTCTGATGCTGCAGGACACAGAAAATGGACACATTTGGCTTTTCCTCTCCTCAAACTGCCCTGACACAGATCTGCTGACCCTACCTGTTAAAGTGATCTGAGACTTTTGACTGAGACGCAGAGGCAATTGTAGCCAGGCTGGCACCACCTAGTGCCTCCGCTCATTTCTTTTCTCTCCAGCAACTAGGTTAGGAATCAGAATACACTACAGTTCGCAAAAACCCAGGAAGTGCAAGTTCGGGCACCAGCCAATCAGCAAAGAGCCATACATTCTGTGTTGTCAACGATTCCCAAGATCGAGGATTCAAAGCTGGAACAAAGAGAATGTTTGGTGAAGGGGAAAGACGTTATAGTCCTTCTTCTTACAGGATTTGAGAAAAGCTTAATACACCCCGTTAGCAGCGCATTACATCACGACCAAATAGCAGCGATTGGTTAAATAAAGAAAAGTACCCCCTCAAGGATGTCAGATTACAGATTCTTGTGAGTAAGGATTATGATCTTGAATTGTCAGCATGAATGAGCAACCACACTGAAAATGTTGTCTTCAAAGAAGAACTGTGTTACAAAACCACAAGACTTGAAAGCCTTTCCTTTCACCTTAAAATGACTAAGGTGTCCTGGTTTGTCCGTTTAGTCCTTTTTTAGTCCTGGTTTAGTCCTGGTTTCTGATTTTCTTTTAGACCCTTTAGTTCTGGTTTAGTCTTAGCAAGTTACTGCAAAGCTGTAATACACCCCGTTAGCTTTAAGTTGTAGGCGATTTTATATTTTTTTTTTTTAATATTCACATCATTCCGACACAAATGCGTTTTTTACATCACTGTTGATGACACGCCCACACGTCTTATTGCGCGCGTTCCAAAATGAGATAAATGGAGAGCAGAAAATTGGTTGTAACCATAAACCTGATTAAAAGTACTCCCACCTACCATAGAGATGCGCGGATTGCGGTTACAACCGCGGTATCCACGGTTAATCCGTGGGTCGGGCAGATGACGTGACAAAAAATTATATTTTAATTAAATTCGGGCGGGTGCCGGTTTAACTACAAAAAAAAAAGTTATTGTTAGTATTGTTACCTACATCTGAAAAGACGAGTCTCATTGTCTATGCTTGTAGTATGAAGTGTACGTCATGTCCTTAATTAGCCCATTTGACCTCGTTTTTATGTTCTGAAGGTTAAGGTTGTGTCGGGTTACTGATAGCCTAAGGTTTACGAGGCACATATTATATGCAGTTTATTTTATTAATTCTAATTTATTTCAGCTGTTTGCCAACACGTAAGTGGGTATAGGGCCATATTTATTTAGTTATGCTTTTTTTTTTTTGTTTCGATATCAGATATATTTTAAAACACGCAGACATTATAGCGTAGACTGCCACTCAGGGTATTTAAAACTTAAAGAAAGACCGATGGAGTGAGGCTATGACTTTGAAATAACATCGGGCAATGGCAGAATGTTCAGAATGTAACAACATCCAACACGAAGACAAGAAGGTTCAAAAATAGCCTAGTCGGAAAACGTTGTCAATTAATTAGCTGCGCAAGAAAACCAGGTAAGTTTGGGGTTGTTACGGACAATTAAGAATGCGAACATACACGCTGAGCGAATTTTGGAATGAATGAGCTATAGAGTGTGCATTTTTATCGAGGCTCCTTAGTTTGTTTGCTGTATGATTGTTCTAAAATCTGAAATTAATCGGCGGATGGCGGGCGGGTGCGGTTTTGAAAACCTTGATAGCGGACGGATGATGAGTTTTGTGTCGCGGTGAAAAAATAGCCCATCCGCGCATCTCTAACCTACCATCAAGTGAACATGTTCTAATGCTGTGAGGTCAGACAGTTTCTACGAAGTGAAACCGGCTGATGAATCAGGCTCAGATGATTGAGAAGTGCAATGCAAATGTTGCTGCAGCTATATATGAATTTCTTTCGGATCAGTAAAATATCTAAGTTTCTGTCTCTTTCTTTATCTCTCTCTCATTGTCTCTAATATCTGACTCATCTCTCTGTCAACAGTTAAAGCAAGTGTAACTAGTACTTTGAGTGGTAGTACTT